GAAAATTAAACATTCCTGAGTGTTATCCTGACACCTTAAATTCTACATGTTTAAAAACTTAATTAATTATACTGGGTTAATGCCCTCAACCAACTAACTGGCTGCTTACCTCTTAATCTGTGTTTAGTCTTTTACTTATTGATATCCTTTGTCCTAAAATCCTATGTCTCAAGTAGCACTCCCTTCTTTGAATGCTACCCTGTAAAGCCCTAGGCTTATCCTAGCAAATCTCTGACCCCTGTCCTTGAGTCCCGGAGGAATCAATTGACTCTGGTCATCAGCTTTTAGCACCCTGCTCCCGCCCTCACCCCATCTTTAGACTGGTATCTTTAGTTATCATAACCCACATTCACCAAAAATTTAAAGCATTTTGAGTCAAAAGTCACCAAGCAGGATTGCAGTAGGAAAGCCCAAGAAGAGAGTAACAAAAAACAAGAAGTTTTAACAACAGATTGGCTGAGGTCTCAGAAAGGGAAGAATAAGAGTGATTTGTGCAGAAACAAGTGAGCAAGAACCGGGAGCTAATTCTCCTGTTGTTTAATCCTTGGTCAGGAGCACTTTTAATTAGGAATGTGTTCCACATGGAACTTGGGCAATTCCTGAGGTTCTGGACGTCCTTAGCAGAGAAGCTTAGTTTCATTTGCGTCCTCTTAATCGCATGGTCAGTGGGTAGTTCCAAAGTGCAGCATTTTAACAGAAGTCTACCAGATTTCACATCTGAAGCTTTTCCAATTTATTCAGCCAATGTCTGTTACACACCTAATAGGTGACACTCTGTTCTTTGTTACCACAAATTAACTCATGGTATGAAAATGAGAAGGACCTCAAGAATATGTCATCTGGGCTTCCCTGGTGGCGCAGTGGTTGAGAGTACGCCTGCCGATGCAGGGGACGTGGGTTCGTGCCCCGGTCCGGGAAGATCCCACGTGCTGCGGAGCGGCTAGGCCCGTGAGCCATGGCCGCTGGGCCTGCGCGTCCGCAGCCTGTGCTCTGCAACGGGAGAGGCCACAACAGTGAGAGGCCCGCGTACCACAAAACAAAAAGAAAAAAAAAAAAAGAATATGCCATCTTTTCCCTGTATTATTTTTCCATAAAGGTGTTTCACTGGCTAACTTGCATTGAATTGTTGACATTTTCCATGTCTTAGTTGTTTTCTCTAGTAACCAAAGTCTCTCCGTCGTTAGCATGATAACTGAATGGTAAGAAAGACAAAACAACAACAACAAAAATCGTTTAACTTAAGCATATTTTTCCACTGGACTTTAGTTGCTGATTAAAGCATTTAGCAATGTAATTAAAATAATTTAAATAGCTAATTAGATATGTTATAGAATAGTTTCCAGTAATACATTCCTTTAAACAAAGCATTCATTATTGAGGAATGCAATTTATCACTGAGTTACTGATACTAATGCAATTATATGTTAAATGGAAGAAAGCATCCACAAATCAACCCTAGTACCCTGTAAAAATTTCCATATTTATAACTTTTGAATAATCCTTATAGGCTCAAAGGAGATACATGGGAAATTTGCCCTCGATGTTTTAGTTGACTTTGCCACTGTCTGGTTCTAAATCATGTTTTTGACAGTTAAGACCCAGATTAAAGCTATGTCTGTGTACATGTTTTAGCAAAATGGACTGATGAGTTTAATCAACCAAATTGTCCACTTAGCTAGACAATGCTTTGACTTTATTATTTGCTTATTTTTATTTCTTTGTTAAATTAACTTGTTTTTTAACAATATGACTTAATAGGTGAGGTTAACAAAATATAGCAAGATCAACTCAATGTTTGGAAGCAGTTTCAATGTGATTTTTAAAAAATGGCTATACCAAAGTTAAGAAAAAAATTGTCTCAGCAAATGCTCAAAAGTTTACTGTGAAGCATTCTGAAAAATTCTGATTTCAAGAACATTTTATAAAAAAAGTAAGCAAAAAATATCCATTATTCTATTTAAACTGATTGAAAATGTGAAACTGGATTCCCAAATTGGAACATTTTTATTGTTCAATGATTTTATTGCTTAAAATGCTATATACAGTAATGAAAATATCTTTTTACGTTAAAATAGAATCTGAGTATTAAAAAGGACTTCATGTTTAAACAGCCATCTAATTTCTAAATGATAAATACATATATTTTAGGAACCATAGAAACACACGTTTCAGAAATTCAGTGTCTATTGTGAGACTACACTGTCAAAATGTTGACTCAAGAACAAACTTTAAAAATATTGTTACCAGGCTTCCCTGGTGGCGCAGTGGATAAGAATCTGCCTGCCAATGCAGGGGACATGGGTTCGAGCCCTGCTCTGAGAAGATCCCACATGCCGCGGAGCAACTATGCCTGTGCGCCACAACTACTGAGCCTGCGCTTTAGAGCCCGTGCCCTTCAACAAGAGAAACCATCGCAATGAGAAGCCTGTGCACCACAACGAAGAGTAGTCCCCGCTCACCACAGCTAGAGAAAGCCCGCTTGCAGCAACGAAGACCCAATGCAGCCAAAATTGAAATAAATTTATAAAAAAAAATAATTATTACCACCAATCTTTGTGTTAACTCTCTTTGATCAGTGCTGTGGATGTGCTAGATTCAGGTGTGTGTGTTTGCGTGTGTGTATCTGTCTGTCTGTGTTTGAGGGGGTTTGAGGACAAAACAAGAAAGATGTTGAATGACAACCAGAATGGAATTAACTGTGCAGTGCAGCTTGAGTGACCTATTCGGAAGTTATGCGTGGGGTCTTTGGTACATGTATAGTTTTTCCAAAATGGTATAGAAATGGGGTAAAAACTAATGTCATTTTCTATTTTGAAATAATAGGTATGGTTTCATAAACCAAATCAATATTTTCTGTAGAGTTTCAAGTGAAAATATTTATAGTAATAAAATCTCTTTTTCCCTATTCTCACTCTTTTTACACTTTCTTGCTTCTCTCCTCCCTTCTTTGCTTTTCACATTTCATGCTTACTAAAAAAGCCATAAGAAAAGGTGAATGTATTTATTTAAATACATTTTTATATATGTGCCAGCATTAGTGAGTTAATCAACTATCAATGCAAATTTATAGCTATCATGTATTTATCTCTATAATTAATTCTCTTATGTGAAAATCAACTTACTAGCTGGTTGGTAAAGAATTTAAGAATTTCAATTATGTGCTTTTAAAAGAAGACTTGTTGGGTTTTTACAATTAAACATTTGACTGTCTTCCAATAATGGAAGACAGTCTTGGATTGTGAAACTTATATTCACAGTCTTGGATTGTGAAACTGTTAAATCTGACGTGAAAAGATAGACAGTTTGCTGTATAAAAATGAAATATATATGTTCAGCAAACATATGAGACCAAACAACAAACTAGAAAAACATATTTGCCACAAGTATAAAGGACAACTTTTCAATTTTCTTCTATCCAAAGAACTTTTACAATAACAATGTATAATAAAAAAAAGATGGGGGCTTCCCTGGTGGCGCAGTGGTTGAGAGTCCGCCTGCCGATGCAGGGGATACGGGTTCGTGCCCCGGTCTGGGAAGATCCCACATGCCGTGGAGCGGCTGGGCCCGTGAGCCATGGCCGCTGAGCCTGCTCGTCCGGAGCCTGTGCTCCACAATGGGAGAGGCCACAACAGTGAGAGGCCCACATACCGCAAAAAAAAAAAAGATGAAGGGTCAAGAAACATGGAAATATATTTCATTGTATAAATAAAGTGGTGAAAATTCAAATAAGGATGTTACATCATTCTTTGTCTATCACATTGGCAAAATATAAAGGAATTGGTAATGTGTAGTTTTGAAGAGGAAAGTACTGCTGGTGGAAGTGTACATTTGTATTAAGCTTTTTGGACATCTAGTTGTTGATATTTGCCAAATTTCAAATATATTTATGCCTTCATCAATTTCATTTATTAACATATACCATAAAATATATTTGGATAGTTATATTTTTTCTAAAATATTATAGCCAAGGTACACAGGCAGGTTTATACTTCTTGCAGTATTATGACACAAAAACACTGGGACATTTCTTTTTTTTTGAATTTTATTTTATTTATTTTTTTATATGCAGGTTCTTTGTAGTCATCCATTTTATACACATCAGTGTATACATGGCAATCATTTCTAAGTGCCCATTAACATAAGACCAAATAAATAATGTTTTATATGTATATGTAATGTAGCCATTAAAAATGAGGGATACAACATAGGAATGAAAAGATTTCCACCATATATTGTTAAATTAATAAGTAAACTAAATCAAGATATGAAACAATGTGTGTAGTGTGACACTACCCGATTAAAAGTTACTTAAGTAAAATTAAAAGAGGGATGGGAAGAAATATACAATGTTTGTATTTTTTCTGTAGACAGTTCTAATAGAAAAGTCACCACATTGTTAACTGCTTACCTCTTGACATTGGGGGAAAGGTGTGGGAAGGGAGCTGAAGGAAAATTTAATTTGTCTGCTTACAAATTTCTATTTTCTTAAAGAACATTCACTATTTCTATAATTAACTCAAAAAATATACTGATTATGTTATTACCTGAAATAATGAAACTGTTTCAAAATTGAAATAGATTACTTAAATAAGTATATATAAACTCAAGAGCAGTACGTTTTTTGTTGGTCGTTCATGGTTTCTATTAAAAAACAAAACAAATACACATAGTATTCCTGAGGTTAATCTGAGAATCTTGTTTTACAAACTGCATGATATTTCTGTATAGTCTTTACCTCACATACCAGCCAGTGTTTTAGAAAATCCAGAGTGCTTTGTTCCATTTATAAGAAAAATACCTGTGAGATAAGATTTCTAAGAAATAATTGTTATAGCTAGATTTTTAAAAATTCTGTCAAGTTACTGGAATGAGAGATAGTCTACTTTTAGTTAAAATTATGAATTGCAACTGCTTTATTACTTTATATTAGTATATCAGAAATGGGTACTTTTCCTTTCTATGTAACAAAGATGACTTATTTTTCTTCCTCCTCCTGGTAGCTTTCAGCCGTGCCCCAATTCCAATGGCTGTGGTCCGCAGAGAGCTCTCCTGTGAGAGCTACCCCATAGAACTCCGCTGTCCAGGAACAGATGTCATCATGATTGAAAGTGCCAACTATGGGAGGACTGATGACAAAATTTGTGACTCTGACCCTGCTCAGATGGAGAATATACGATGCTATCTGCCTGATGCCTATAAGATTATGTCTCAAAGGTATGATATTTCTAATATTCTTTGTGCATTTAATATAAACTCTCAACATGCATCTGTGTGACATATTGAGCATAGGTACACATAAAATTGTGTACTTTAGGATACTTTGAACTACTTTTTCAATATCAAACTATTCCCCATATCACTAAAATGCTAGTGCTAGAAATTGTAAATGGCATTTGGAAAATATTAGAATGTATTAGAATATTTATTGTTTTATGTGTTCTATTCTGTATTCTCTAGAACTGAGTTCATTAGTTGAGAAACTAAATTTGTTTTTCAGTTTTCATAAACAGAATTATGTAATTTTCTCCAGAAATTACAGAAAAATTATTTTACTGCTAACAATGATTTCCATTAGTGTGGGAAAAAGAGTAAAATTTAAATTCAGAGGCAATTTTATACCTATTAATCAAAATATATTAAAGACTACTTAGTAATGATTATTTGGCCTTGGAAAACAATAAAAAATATTACTTTGATATCTAGTATATAAATTAATTTATTTAATACATTTAAACTATCTGAAATATTACCATAGTAAAATAGTATAAAGTACCATAGAATATCACTGGATAAGTAAAAAAAATCTTCAATTCTAAAGAGACTGGTCAATTAGAATCTATACTATAGAAAGTTTATATTAAAATTTCTTGATAAATTAGTTAAATATTAAATATATCTCAAATATTTGTTCACTTATTATGACTTCTGAGAAATCAGTGACAGAGTCATTCATTTACAATAAGCCTTCATACTTTCTGACTACTTGCTCACAAAGTAGTTTTTAAAAACTTAATCAATATATGATTTACTTAGTAAATTTGATTTTCATTAGGATTTCTATTTAGGCATCTCTTTCTTTTGTTTAAGGACTTCTTAAAATATGGGGGAAATCAAACATATGTAAAAATAAATTGAATTATAAAAGCAAAGACAGTGGATTTTAAGGATTATCTTTCTTGTACTTAAAAAAGCCTGCCTTATTTTTAACCTTCCTGATACTTAAAATTCTGATATCTACATTGATAGTCAATATTTTTATAAATTTCTGTCATATAAGTTATTCAAAGAAATTATCACATGCCAGGATTTTGATGATCAGAGCATCTGAGGTATACTTGAAAGATAGTGGTCTCTGGGCAAATCTGAGAGCTTTTATTTGTCTATTTCTAAAATGCTGGCTCATGCTAAGGTGAGTGTTAATGAGAAATAAGATTTTAAAATTAGTGATTCCATTTGATATAAGCTTGGTTGCATTTGGTTCTTCTTGTTGTCTCTTGTTGTTATATGTTGACACACCTCCAACTATGGCTAAATTCTCTGACGTTATACCTAAAAGAAATCTAATCATTTTGTTGCCTATAGGTGTTATAATCATCTTTCAGGAATGGTTATTCCATAAGTAGTATGGAATGGGCACCATGACTAAATTGTTATTTTATTTGTTTCAGTCAGAAAACCAAACCCAGGATTCTTCAGAATCTATTCGGGAAGTGGGTTGAGGAGGATTTTCTGCTTTTCTGTGATTAGGTTTTCATTTAAAATGTAGCAGAAGCATTAACTTCACGAGCTTTTGATCTCTATATGATTTTCACCAAAATTGTCTTAATCCTTTCATTGATATTATTAATGGCTCCCAAAATAAGCCCTTAATCTTATAATTATTGCAGAAAATAGTTACAGTGGCTCCTCTGGAGCTACTGAATTTTAAGGGATGCATCTGTAAAGTGACAAATCTGCAGAGTAAAATTGCTTTAAGCACCCTGAGTAAATCACTTTTAGAAGCCTTCCTGGGGGGTTCTCAACTAAGAATTGTCAGTTAAAATAGCTGTGGTTGATTCTCCATGGAGGCAAGTTTCTTGCTTGTATTTAGACCATTAAATGTACTACATTTACACTTGTCCAAAATAAATGGAGAGAAGAAATCTGGTCCCATTTTGTAAGCTACCAAGATATGGGATGATCACATCCACTTAAGCTGCTTTATAATGAACTCTCACTGTCACGCCAATGAGAGCATGTTAAATAATGTTCATAATTACTAATTATGATATGGGCACATCATATTAATTATGATGTCAACAGTTTAAATAATGTGTTTGAATTAAAATAATAGTAGAAAAAAATCTTTTCCAAAAGATGTTTTAGATTATTGTGTTTTCTTTCATTTAAACTTCTAGAAAGACATTATATCAGCCTAAAAGTTTTAAGCATGTCTCTACATGGGAGGAGTATCACTAAACTCAAAAAATTATTTGTGTCTTTGCATAACCTTGTTAAAAACGCTTCCTAACTTACTTCAGCCTCATAAATTAGACAGATGTCATAGGCAAGGACAGACGTGAAATGTTATTCATGCAGATGTTTGAATACATGTTGAATGAATGCATAAATAAAACTGTATACTAACATGTTAGGTGTGAAAAATTGGAGACTTGAATCAGAAAGGTTATGACATGTGACTTCCACATTTTTTTTTTCCCCAGTAGAACTATGCAATCTGACATCTGCTCTAGAGAAGCCAGTTTCCTCACTGCCTTTCAGATTGAGCCTGGTGTTCTCAACTCTAAGTGTGTTCTCATGCCATTCTGTCCCCTATTTCTCTGAGTGTTCTGTGCTTTACTTTTTTCATTATACTACCAGAAGACTTTTTCATTATACTACTAGAACACATTTATTTATCCTTCTCAGAACTTCTGAGGCCACTCACCTGTTATCATCTACATCCATCATTTTTGCATCCAAACAATAAATGTGTAGTATCATATTTTAGACAGTTTTCTTGTGTAAAGTAAATTGTAGGCTTCTAGAAGGCAGACTTTCTGTTTATCTTACCTAAAACTAACTTTTAATATGTAATAATCAAATATATGTATATATATATGTATATTTCAAATCAAACCAAATATATATATATTTCAAATCAAATCAAATATATGTATAAATTTAGAAATACACCATCCAATTTTGTCATGCCATTTAAAAACTTTCTTAACTTTATTTTCTGAGTCATTTTTGTTTCTTTTTACTTTATATACTTAAAAGTTTAAAAAGAGTACATATAGCTTTTGAATATAAATGTGAAAATGACTGTTGGCAACTGATAACTACAGAAATTTTACATTTTTAATGCAGCTGAGGTGTTCGTTTTCTTCAGCTATTAATGGAAATACTTGCATTTTTTTTCTCTTCAATCTTTTTTATTGAAGTATGGTTGAGAAAACTTGCATTTATTAATTCCACCAATACCTGAAAGTCCATGATATGCTGCTCACTATGACAATTACTCTGCAGTTTGGTGGTTAAATAAGTCTGGCATGGTTCCTGTCCACAAAACTGTAGTTTTTTGGCCAATAAAAAACAAATAGCTGTATCATTTGTTCAGTAATTTATTTTTATCTCAGTTACATTTATTGAAGAGTTCAAAACAAGAAGGAATACTCTTTTACCTAGATCATATTAGGGAGTATTCACTGAAGAGAAAGTGTTAGGCTCGTCCTTGAAGGATTGCAGCGTTAGTGGAACCGGAAGAGACCAAAGTGATATTAGATATATAAGTGGATGAACGCCAAAAAAGATCGTGGGAAACAGCTTCTCTTCAGTAACCCTTCACCCATCCTTTTCTGTCATGGCTTCACAAGCTTATTGGTGTCTGCTGTGGACAGCTTACTGTCTCTAGGCCCTCTCCCAAACGTGCCTGAAGCCAGCCCTCCACCATCATCCATCCCTATAGACCCAGTACACCTTGACAATTCGATGATAAACTAGCCTGGATGCTATTCCCTTGTCATTAAAAGCTCCAAATGGAGTCCTTCTTATAAATTGGACATAGAGTCCATCTAAATGTGGGAAGTTTGAATATCATATGTAATGATATCTTCATGCCAGCTTTTTATGACAAATATTTTAAACATGTAGCATAACAGCCTTATTCTGCATAGAGTTGCCCATAATTTTTTAGTTGAAAAGGAATTTTGAACAAGCATGTATATATGTATAGGAAGTACAGTGATTTATTGAGTTATAATATATATACTGAAAATTGCACACATGATAAGTGTACAACTCAGTGAATTTTCACAAACCAAGCTTATCTAACAACAACTAAGTAAAGACAGAACATTAAGGGTACCTCAGACATCACACCTTGTGCTTTGTATCAGCCATCCTCCCCTCAACCAAGAATTGCTGCTATTGGGACTTCTATCATCTGAAATTATTTTGCTCATTTTGTAATTTAAATAAATGGATTCATATAGTATATGCTTTTTGGTGTCTAGCTTCTCTCATTCAGTGTATTCAGTTTTAAATATAACTTTATTGAAGCATTTTTATATATCAAATTCACCTATTTTGAGTGTACAATGATTTTTTTTTTTTTTAGTAAATTTACCAAGTGATACAATCATCACCATAAGTCAGTTTTAGATCATTTACATCACCACAGTAAGATTCTTCACACCCATTGTTGTTAATCCCCATCTCCTTCTCCACCCCATTCAATGACTAGTCTGTTTTCTGTCTTTGTGTCCATCCTTCATGCATTACTTTTTTAAGCTAAAACCTGAATATTTGAAGTCAAGTTAGATTTAGTGGGTGTTTCAGTGGGGACGTTATCAAAGAAATACTAGCAGTTATTCCTGGAGGCATGGACATAAATATGTTGCTTGCCTTTTGAAGTATGTTAGAATCAAAGATCATGAATCTACACATTTAAAAAGTACCCTCTGTAGAGTTTTCTATCAAGGAGAGATGTTAAATGTATAAAGTAGGAGTAATTTTTTTCTGATTAAATGAGTGATTTAAGTTTTACTTTTAATCTTCCAGCACCATTTTCGCAATATTACATTTTCACATGTCATAGTCACATCAAGAACATGCGAAAAAAAAAAGAAAAAAGAAAAAGAGGCAGGGAGGGAGAATTGTTTCTCACCTTTCCAGAAAAGTTATGTTTCATTTTATATCAGTATCACTTCAGGGGATTTTACAGTATACAA